TCCATCTAGCCCATTTGGATGGAAAATCAAAATAAAATTCAAATTAAAGCTGTGTACATACCCGACGGTGCCACAACCTTCGTCGTATCAAGACCCAATCTTTACAAAACCCTAGAACAGAGCATAGTTTTCGGCGAGCAGCGAGCACAGAGAGTATTGTTCCTTTTGTACGCATCTGGTGGCGGAGACATCCAATCGTTTCAAAATCCTAGCCCAGGGAATGGTTTCCAGCGAGCTGTGAAGAGAGAGAGATCACGGTTCTTTTATACGGGTCGAATGAGCGGAGAACCCAATAAAAATCGATTTAGCTTCTCCAATACAATTTTTACTGTAGCTTTGAGCGGCGGGTCGAATGAGCAGAGAACCCAATAAAAAGCGATTTAGCTTCTCCAATACAATTTTTACTGTAGCTTTGAGCGGGAAACTGTTACTGTTCATGTTTTCACTTTAGCTTTGTATATTAATAGATGTTACTCACTTTTCTTGTTTTTTTTTTATTTTTAAGTGACACTCTTTAATTATAAATTGTAAAAAGAGTATATTTAATTAAATATAAATTTAAATTAATATTGTTTATCTTATTTATTTAGATTATATTTAATTTGTGTTCAAAGAATATTACTATTTGATTAGAAAAGTGAGAACAAGAATCGTTTTTAAGATCAGTATTGGACACAAAATGACTTATCTAAATATCATATTAAGTGTCATCACACATTGGCCTTGTTTGGATGTTGGCTGTCAGCTGTTGGCAGTTCGTGTCAGCTGTTGTGAATGGCTGTTTACTTCAGCTGGTTTGACCGGCAGGATGAATTGGCTAATTGTTAAAAATGTTTAGTAAAATTAGCTGTTTGAAAATAGTATTTTATATATATATATATATATATACACACACACACACACACATTATTTATTTTTCATTTTTTTACATGTAAAAATTAGGAGTAAATCTATACTATATGGAGTATTAAATTTTACTTTCATTTAATTCATAAGAAATTATTAATATACAACTTTTTAATGATTTTTACTTTTTATTTTCTCATTTCATTTTTTTGAAATTTTTAATTTTTTAATTTAATTTTTTTTAGTATTTAATTTTTTTAACTTTTATTTTTATTTTTAGTTTTACATATATTATAAAATATCTTTCAAGAAAAATGACTTTAAAAAAATTAATTTTCCTAACAGCCAAGTCCAAATGCTACTTCCCTTGGCATTTTGGATTTTGGCTTTTCGGATCAAAATGCCAAGTGAAAAAGTCATTAGCCAAACAATGATTTTGGCTGTTCGTTCAGTCAAAAAAGCCAAAGTCAGTCAAACATGCCAAAAGCTATCCGAAAAGCCGTTTTCCAAACAGGGCCATTATGCAGGCTTCACATATTTCCTAACAAAGGGAATTATTATAAAATGATTCTTTAACTACAAAGATGATATTGTAATTTTTAAAAGTTTAAGAACTATTTACCTACTTTTGAAAAAGTACAAAAACTATTTCGGCAAGTGGCTCTAATATTAATTTAGACTTGACAGAAAAATAATCTAATTGAGAAACAATTACTTTACCATAATGTCTTCTGCCCATAAGGGTAATTAACGGGTGTCGAGTGTACGCAAACCTTGAAGTTTTGTCGAACTTTATTGTGTTATTATATCATCTAAAAATAAAAAAAATGAATCTTTTTATTTCATAATAGAAATTAGTTATTTTTTGTTATGCATCAAAACAAAGCCATGCTTAAAGAATTCTAAGCGATATGAAATATTGATTTGTATTTCTAAAGATAATAAAATCAATTTTTTTTTGGAAATAATATTTTTGAGTAGCTTAATATTTTGGATAAAATTTTAATCTTGTAAATTAATTCTAAAAAAATTGACGTTAAAAAGATCTGATAATACTTTCAAAATGCAAACGCTAAAATAGTGTGTTGGGAACGAGACCGAACCTGCCGGTCCAACCGGTTGAACCGTGACCCAAACATAAATCCGGTCCGGTTTGATGGATAAACCCGCTTTCTGATTGAGCTGCCTAAACTCGTCCGACCCAGATAACCAGCTGACCCGGGTCGATCCGGTCAGTTCACGGGTTTGGGCGAAAATCAACTGTTTATTAAATTTTAATTAATGTTTAAAAATTGAAAACGCATGTGGGAATCAAACCAAACACCATTGTTCCTACCGTAGTAACTGTTAGCCAAGTGAATTAGGGGCTGTTTGTTTCATTCTCTTAATGGTTCAGATGTCTGAATGGTTCAGCACTTAATGGTTCAGACTGTTTGTTTCAGCCTCTTAATGGTTCAGAAGTCTGAATGGTTAAGAGATTTGCCTCTGAATGATTAAGTATTATACAGAGTCGGAATGGTTGATACCTCTTATCTGAATTGATCAGACATTTGCCTCTGAATAGTTAAGCAATATACTAGCTCTTAATGGTTCAGACCTCTTACTGGTTCAGCACTTAATGGTTCAGACCTCTTACTGATTCAGCACTTACCCATTCAGAAGTTGCCAAACCGCCCCTTAATCACTTTTTATTGTTTTGTGTAGGTATCAATATTATATATTTACTGCTTTACACACGTAGCATTCAAAATAAACCAACTACTACCATAGCTCGTAAGTTTTTTTTCCAGTGTAGATATGTATTCAGTTTATGAACTTTTAAAATAGTTCCAAAAAAGTGAGAATTATTTAAATTTAATTCACAAATAAATACACTCCATATATTTTATACTTGAAAAATTATTGCTATTTTTAAAAATCAAATAATATTTACTAATTATAATTTAATATGCTACATTTTTTATTTTTTCAATCATTTTATTCAACTAAATACAAAGTTTAAAATGTTATATAAACATTATCTAGTCTTTACTTTTTAAAAATATGAGTATCGCATTATTATTTAAGTATTTATTAGACATTTATTATTAATTTTTAATAATAATAAATACAATAGAATAAAATATAGAAAGTGCGAAAATAAAAAATAAAAAAAAATAAATTAAATATTTTTTATTGACTAAAAAATCTTACACTTCCTTCGTCCTCATTTTGATTACAAATTTATTTTCTCTTTTCTCGATAACTTTTGGTTATTTGTATGTTTTCATTGATTATTGATAAAATAAATTACTCCGTATTTTTGTTCTCTCTTGTTTTGTAGAGTTTTTGATGTAATTTTTTAATATGTAATTTTCATTTTTTATTGATGTACCAATTTGTTAATAAAATGATTTCAAAAAATGTGAAATTTTATCCCGTTATTCCCATTTTATAATCAAAATGGAGATGGAAGAAGTAATATAAAATATTATTATTGTAAACATTATTGACATGGTCGTTGGCTCTCGGGCTGATCGATTCGACCGATCCAGTCCAATTTTGAGAACATTGACTCAGTATCTTGTCCGGTGTCTAGTGATCCAGTCCAATTTCGAGAACATCCCCTAAAAAAACCAAGTGTTTTGGTCAAAGTATGAATTTCAATTTGGTTGGATACGAATTACGAACCACCAACTGTTTGAGTAAATTCTTTAAATGGTCCTTTATAACTGGGGGGTTTCCGTATATAGTTCTCAATTATCAATTATTAAGTAAGTAGTCTTTTTTAATTGGGTGTCATTCCACCTATAATCCTCTTCTCATCTCCGTTTGAGCTCTGTTAAACGCAATGTAATTAGTTTATTTAACATAATTGTTCTGCCCGATAATCAGCTTCGAAACTACACCTTCAACATTCCGATTAGGGTTTTTGTTCTGCACTGATAATCTAGCCTTGGATTTAGATGTGTCTGCGAGAATTGTTCGTCGTCTTTAAGCTATGGCAAGTTTCGAAGGTGAGTTATATCTTATTTGCGATAATTACTCGATGTTTTACTATGGATTCCCAAAATTCTCTATTAATCTCTTCCAAAATCTGAGATTTAATTTAGTTCTCTCACTTTCATTAAAAAATTGGGATTTGATTTCGATTTCTTATTGTACTGAGTATTTTGATTATGACTTTGTGGGAAAGGGTAGAGATGGGGACGGGATTTCAGTTGAAGAACAAGAAGAAATTGAGCTTTTATTATTGTGTTAATTTGCAGGAACTTTCGAACTAAAGTTTAGGCTCGGTGGATCTGTAAGTATTGGAGGTGCACTTCCAAAATATGATGGTGGTTTTGTGAAAGTGGTTCGTAATGCATTGTTTGATGAGTGGGGTATGATGCTATTAAAGCATCATATTGAGGCAGTATCTGAAGGTTCGAGCGGGTGTACATTTGTTGGGAAGCTTGTCGTGAAGGGTTCAAAAGATGTAGGCAACTTATAGGATTAGATGGCTGCCACCTTACAGGGAAGTTTGGAGGGACAATGCTAGTGGCAAATGGAGTGGACAGTAATGAGAATATCTTTCCATTTGCTTATGCCATTGTGGAGGGTGAGAACAAAGAATCTTGGACATGGTTTCTAGACCTTCTCACATTTGATTTAGAGCTAAATGATTATAAGGAACCAACTTTTACATTCATGTCAGGTACAATGTCTTTTTTGTCATTTCTGTTTTTCACTTGCTTAAAGTACCCTCTCAAGGATTTTCTCACTTGTTTGGATTTCTTTACTAACTTACAGATAAGCAAAAGGGTTTGTTACCTGCATTTGAGGATGTCATTCCGAGAGCAATGCATAGATTTTGTGTAAGACATCTAGAAGGGAACTTCAAAAATGCTGGGTATTCTGGAGAGGCATTGAAAGACCTCTTATGGGAGGCTGCTAAGGCAACTACTGTGTCTCAATATGAGGAGGTTATGAGGAAAATAAAGGATGAAGATGTTGAAGCGTATGATTGGTTGGTTGGTAAACAGGCTTCAGAGTGGTCCAGATCCCATTTTCACATTGCACCCAAGTGTGATATCCTGACCAACAATATTTGTGAGTCCTACAATCGAGTTTTAAAAGAAGCTAGGTCTCAAACCCTCATTAGGTGCCTGGAAAGCATAAGGGAAATGCTGATGAAAAGATTCTTTGATTTGCGGGAAAAGGCTGAAAACTGGAAGGGTTTGTTGTGTCCCACAGTTGCCTCTAAAGTAGCAATAAATTCAAAACTTGCTGGTGGTTATACTGCAATTCAAAGTGACATATCCCTATTTGAAGTTAAGGGATATAGGGCAAAAAATTGGGAACAACATGCAGTAGATTTGGTTGAACGGAGTTGTACATGCAATGTTTGGCAGTTGACTGGGATACCTTGTGCACATGCTATATGCGCAATATGGATACAGAGACAGCAGTACAGAAAAGAGGTTGAGGAGTATGTAGATGAGTACTATTTTGTTCAAACATATAAAGAGGTTTATAAAGGCTGCATTAAACCACTGAGGGGAAGAAGTGAGTGGCCTGATGATGAAAGGCAGCCTTTGAACCCTCCTTTATTGGCACCAAAGCCTGGCAGACCAAAGAAGAAAAGAAAGAAAGGTGTGGGTGAGCTTACTAAAGATGGTAAGAAGCTGTCCGGTGTGTTTACTAATAGACGGTGTGGTAAGTGCAAAAAGGTAGGTCATAACAAAAAAACCTGCCCTGAAGATCCAGAGGCTGTGGCAAGACAGGTATACCTTCTTTACCATTTCTGTCTCAATTTAGCCTGACTTTTTATAAACATGACCACATTACCTGTTAAATTTTTTTGTTTTGTTTAGGCTGCAGCAAAACAAAAGAAATCACAGAGAAAACTTCTAAAGAGAAGGATGTTAAGGGCTGCTCGAAAATCAGGTCAAGAGGAAGCTGCATCTAATAGTATCTTTGAGACAGAAATATCACTTCAAGAAACCACAGAACCATGGTGGGCTGATTTGCCAGTTGAACCAGACATATGCTCTGAAAATTTCAGCTTCATCCCAACACCAACAACTCAAGATAATGAAAACCAAGATGGGAACAATGGCATGTGTTTTATTCCAACACCAACTGCTGCTCCTAGTGCTGCTGGTCCTAACCTCCCAAGAGAAACCATTGTGCAATCCCCCATCACCCAAGTGTCTGCTGCTCCTAGTTCCTCAAAGAGACAGAAGAGGGAGGTTGTGAGGCCTAGAAGAAAACCATATCTAACTAGGTCGTCTCTAAAGACAAGGTTCAGGAACACGTCAAATGACCCGTTGGTCGTGGATTAGGGACAAAAATGGTTTCTGTTTTTTGCTGGGTTTGATGCCCTCTTTTGTTGACAAAACTTATCATTTTTTGCTGGGTTTGATGCCCTCTTTTGCTTGGATTCTGTTTTTTGCTGGGTTTGATGCCCTCCCTCTTATGCTGGGATTCTGTTTTTTGCTGGGTTTGATGCCCTATTCTGTTATGACAAACAACACCAACACGCCAAAACTTGTGATAGTTGGTGGGTTTTGTGATATCATGGAAAGTTGAATGTCCATGTATTTTGGGTTGTGGAATGTATTGTCCATGCTATCACAAGATGTAACTTGAGCAAATTATGCTGATTTTGATATTAGTGCAAATATCATCTTGTATTATGTTTTTGACTGTGTCGTATAGATTGTTCGTATACATAGATTATGTAACTTGAGCAAATTATGCTGACTCTGTCTTATTCGAATAAATATAAGTTTATTCGAATAAGTCCTGAAGCTCATTTCTTCAAATCCTACAGTGATTTAGTCGAATAAACCTTAATTTATTCGAATAAGTCTGCGTTCTTCGCTCTGTCCTATTCGGATAAATATGATTTTATTCGAATAAGTCGTCAGTTTCAATTGCAGTTTCAACCAATCCATAAAACAATTTTAACACACTTCAAGGTACACGCATGAAACATTTCTAACGTCTTTCAAAGTACACACATAGAGTGGCACACATAACCAATCCATGAAACACTTTCAACGCCTTCCAAAGTACACGCATACACCGACACACAAGACACATACAACAACCAACAAACACACAACAGCAACGAGCAGATGACTCATTTGAATGCCTTCTTTAGGGTTTAAATGCACTCTTAGTTGCTTATTTTCCACCTCCAATGTATTGATCCTCTTCAACAAGCCAGGAATGATATTCATCGATCTATCGCACATTGGAGGGTCAACCCACTCCCAATCCTTGCATCTACGCCATCCCTATACATACAAACTTTACATTATACTAAATAATCAAACAATGTAAAACATATTTCACATTTACAAGACTCACGTTTCCAGCACAATTCCAAAACCTTCTGCTCGGGTTGCTATTAGTCCATGCAGTCATAATTCTCATTTCATTCCCACACTTACATGTTGGGACTTCCAACCAATCACCGAAATGTTCAATTCTTCTCGAAGATGACGACGATGAATGATTTCCGTAGCTATCAAACCAAAACATAATAAATTTCAGAAATTGGCTAAAAGAAACTTGAAATAACTCAATTTATCAATTTTGGAAAAAAACTACGATTAAGAGGAGAAATTACTATGAACTACGATTGTCTCCAATCTTTGAATTTTTTTAAAAAAACTAAGATTACAAATAATCAATTCATAACCTTCAAATTTCAGAAGTATCCTCACCAATTTCGAAATTTTTTCAATAATTTAAAGTAAATTCTTTTACATAATGAGGAGAACAAAAAACACACGCCCTTTTACATCCAAGTAAATACCTTCGTTGACGCATCGTTGATTGCGAGTTCATGGCCCCAATCGTCATTTGAATCCACTTTCTGTCGTTCTTCTTCGTTGACGCAAACCATCCGACAAATTACTAGCCCTAGATCTTTCTCTTCGTTGACGCAGAAGTGTATATACTAGGCGTTAATAGGTTTTGTAGTGAAAGTACAATATTAGCCCTCCATTTAGCAGCGCTCAAACGGAGATGAGACGGAGGATCATATGTGGAATGACACCCAATTAAAAAAGACTACCTACTTAATAATTGATAATTGAGGACTATATACGGAAACCCCCAGTTATAAAGGACCATTTAAAGAATTTACTCCAACTGTTTTGGTCAAATTACACTCTAGTGTTTTTTTAAAGGTCCCTGTGTGTTTAATGGCGTCCTCAGGTAAATGATTACGAGTCCAAGTACTCCCTGATTTCAGTTGAATTTCTCCTGCCCCTGAGTAGATTCCCGCGATTGGAACCGGAGGCAGAAGCTTCTTCGCCGGTATGGCTCTGGGGTTGAGTTCCGGCGACGTCGCCGGATTCAAGGTGCTCTTCTCTCTCGCCGTCCTCTACGGACTCATATCACTTCTGGCCTACTCCGTTCATCAGCTGAAGTTCATCACGCCTCTCGGCATCGATGCCCCACTCGATCGATTCTCCGAAGCCAGGGCCATTGAACACGTCCGCGTCTTAGCGGAAGACATCGGCGGCCGCCAGGTCTGTGAACGCCGCCACCATCTTTAGTTTTATAGGCTTTTTGGATTTTGGGTTCTATGCGACCTCTTCATCTCTGATTGATTTTCTGTTCATTCTGTTAATATTAAGATGAAAGGAAGATAATCTATGGCTAGATATGTGTTGTAACCAAATAATGTAGGAAGGGACTCCGGGCTTGAGACAAGCTGCTGAATATATAAAAACCCAGTTAGAAACCATGAAGGAGCGCGCTCAGCTTAATGTTCGGTGGTTTCTCATTTCCTTTTTCCTTTTTTTTTTTTGATAGACATATTTGTTATGCTATCTGAAGTTTATAAGCTTATCCATGTTCTTATTGTTGCAGAGTAGAGATAGAAGAGACTGTAGTAAACGGTTCTTTCAGCATGATCTTTTTAGGTTACAGCATATCATTTGCTTATAGGAACCATACTAATATCATGATGAGGTATTTCCGAAAAAAGGAAAAAAAAACTTTAGCCCCCACACCCCTCCTCCTCTTCCCAAATTCAAGATTAAATTGTAGGCACAAATGCACAATGCCTTGGAAGGTAAACACATATTGCGTATATGAGATCTAACTCTTATTTAAAATGAGTTGCAGAATCTCATCACTGCAATCAGGAGATGATGACCCATCAGTCTTACTAAATGGCCACTTTGATACAACACCCGGTTCTCCAGGAGCTGGTGATTGCGGCTCATGCGTTGGTAGGTTTTGGGGCGTGTTGTCTCTTTCATTGGGGGCAATAACCTTGGTTTTGTATCTTGATTGTAGTGTCACTTCTTTTGCCAGCTGCATTACTTGAATTGGCCAGACTTACAATTGATTCGGGCTGGGTTCCTCCTAGACCACTTATATTTCTATTCAATGGTGCAGAAGAACTATTCATGCTGGTAACAATTCCTTGAATAAATTTAATTTGACTGTAGGAGTTTCTTTACTTGTTGCTATTGAACATGTTACCTATCTTACCAATTTTATATGTGAGCTGAATGACAAAGATACTGTTTTTTTGTTTGTTTGAATTTGAATAACGTATCTTCCTGATAAATTGCAATAATACAACTTAGTAACTTACGCCCTGATTGCCTGGTCTTCTGGTTCAATATTCTTACTTTTCAGTGGTAGATATCAATATGATCCAATGATTTATAATATGCTCTTTTGTTATATTGAAATATTAAAATTGAGTATAATATCAATTTTACATTTTCTTGAATGGATTTAAGTTACCTTTTACTCCAAAATTCTTTTAAAAGCCAGCATCATACTGCTACAACAACAACAACAACATTACCCCAAGGCCTCAAAAGCTCCCGCCTATTGCGGGATAAGGGGGTCGGATGTACGCAACATGACCCCTACGTTTAAAACATTGAGCAACTGTGTCAAGACGACCCATGATAAGCGGCGAAAGTTGCATTGACCAATTGCTACTTCACTATTGAAAGAAGCTAGTTAAACGAGCTACCCGTATTTTGGAAAAATAGCGAATCCTTGGCCCCATCAGAGATGATGGAAAATTTTTGTGTTAATGTGTTATTATCTGATTTGTAATACTTAATTTTCTTTTTAAAAGGGAAGTCCCTTTTTCTTTCTTTTTTTTGTTACAAGATCTCATCAAAGAGGCCGGAATTGGCGCTTTTGTGAAAGTTGTTGCATACATAATGGGGATACAAATGACTTTTGCAAAAATGGGCATGATTATTTAATATTTTACTTATTTATGTATTTTTGTTTTTTTGCTTTCAGGGTTCACACGGGTTCATTACATCACATAGATGGCGTGATACAATCGGAGCATTCATAAATGTTGAGGCTTCTGGAATAGGGGGCCCTGGTAAGTAATTGATTGCTTATTATTTACACATATTTGAAGCTAAGTTTACTCGTTTATCATTTGAAATGGAATCTGAACCTAAGGAGGCTTTAATATTTTTAAATATGTGTGATGTTTTGTGTTACAATATGTCTAAATAGGATATGCATGTAGAATTGTAGAGTAGTTTCAAGATATGCTTGAGATTGCCATTTGTCGACACAGTGAGAAATTGCAGCTAAACGCCTAAACTCAAATACTCTTCTTGCGTTCTGCAATCTGCATTACGAAGGGCTTAAATTTTCATTTCCCACTTCTTCCTTTAGAGTGGAAGTGTGGAACACATGCTGATTGTTTATGCATGTTTTTCACTTAACAGATTTGGTATGCCAATCTGGACCTGGTTCTTGGCCATCACAAGTCTATTCACAGGCAGCTTTATATCCTTCCGCAAATAGTGCAACTCAGGTTTTTGGAATTATGTTGCATTCCATAAATAAAGTCATTGGATTTATTTAGCTTTCTTGCCTTGTGGATGGTTGTTCGGGTAGCTCTTCATATTTAGCACAAGTCTTTGTTACCTTTTAATTTAAAATAATCCTTTAAATTGGAAGGCATTTTGTAATTGAAAAGCAAGTGGGAAATGAAATAATCTTTCTCAGGAAGTCTTATTCCCTGCAACTTTTTCTCTTCATATCCCCCCCACCCCACTTGCTCTTCTACACAATTCTTTGGCCAGCCATCATAGGAAACAAAAAGGTTCTTTCTGCTGCTCATAGCCCCATAATGCATAGTTTATGCTGTGATCATACCAACATGGTTCCTGTTGCTGGGATTATGAATTACGAGCATTGACATAACTGTGTATCCCTGGCCGCTTTCGAAGCATGCAGAAATATGTTCTTGCTGGCTTGACCAGACAAAATTTGGAGTCTCTCCTCATCTGTAGCCTCTCTTTGAGCAATACTTGCACAACCCGCAACACTTGCTGATCTGGAGAAGAGGGTGAAACAAGAATTGATTGCTCTAGGTAAATCCTCAATCCCCAAAACCGTGCACCAGCTGTTATCCACAGCCAACCCCAAGACGTTCCTAAACAATTTAACAACATGAAGTTCCGCCTTCAACACCACCAAACACCCTCACTTTTTTACCTCCACAACTTTTACTGGCAATGCTGCTCGCACTGCCTCCAGCACAACATCTACAGTGCTGTCTCCCCATCTAGAAAAATGCCAAAACTTGATCTTCTAGGATCTACTTTTATCCGCCAAAGTGTTATATTTGACCATTGTCTTGCATGATGTTTCTAAAGGATGCTGTTCACCTTCTCTGCAGTCCACCACTGCAACTAACCTTAAATCTTCTCCAAAAAACCACTGATGTTTTCTACTTATCATTTAGTGCCATGTTCAAGTTTTCAAGATCGTAGACAAGCTTAATTTAGTGATGGTGCATGGTTTGATGTATTTAATTTCCTTTTTTGTTGTATGTATAATTATTTGAGCATCTTTTAGTAGCAGTATTTTTTCCCTTTTTAAACTACAATTAATTATTAAGGCATTTTGTAACCGAAAGACAAGTTTGAATTGAAAAAAGATATTCTTAGAAGCTTGATTCCATCCAACTCTTCTCCCTCTTCCTTTGTGCTGGATGTGTCTCTGACCAGCCACCGTAGGCTGGAGGAAAGCTCATTCACCATCTTCTGCTACCTCTCATAGGCTTGTAATGGCGTATCATTACTGATAATACGCCAGATTACCTCACTAATCAATTCCCTTTTTAGAACATAATCTACTTTAGTTGCATTTTCAGCAAAATTTGACCAGTACTTATCAAAACCTTGTATTAATGTTTTTTACAGGATGTTTTTGGGTTCGTTCCTGGCGATACAGATTACAGGATGTTTGCTCAAGACTATGGAAATATTCCAGGACTGGATGTCATCTTCCTCCTGGGGGGATATTTTTATCATACGTCCTCTGATACTGTTGAAAGACTACTGTATGCATCACAATGCTATTTCGGTACAGTTTCATTCAATTGAAATTTTTAGATTTTTGATTTAGTACTTGATCTAATGCATCATTTTTAAACCAGGCCTGGAAGCATGCAGTTGCGTGGGGAAAATTTGTTCAGTCTGATCAAAGCCTTCTCCAACTCAACTGAACTTCGGAATGCACATGAGCGCAAAGTGCATGCAGCGTCTCAACAGGGTTTAGCTGATGACCATGCAGTTTACTTTGATTTTTTCTCTTGGGTTTTGGTATGACATGAACTCTATTCTCTAATTTTGGATGCTCATACGTTTCATTCATTTTGTTTAGCACTTCGCTGTATTGAGTATTTTTATCAGAGATTAATTGTGGTCCCATGGACATCTCATTGTTTTGAATGTGTTTAAATAATCCAGATAATATACTCTAGAAAGGTAGCCGTCCTGCTTCATAGTATTCCTCTTGCTATCTTTTTTCTTATGCCACATCTCTTACGCTTTCAAGCTTGGGGATTGATTAGTTCTTCTGCAACCTTTTTTGATTTTATTAAGGGTAATGCCATTCTTAAATCAAGAATCACCATATTTTATTTGAAAAGTCCTCAGATTATTAGCTTTTCTTGTTACATAATGTAAGGTAATTTTTTTGTCATTGTACAGGGATGGTATATCATGTGGCTGGGATTGTTCTAGCCATCGCAATTCCTGTAATTATTGCTGTTTTGAACTTGTTTTTTTCTGGCCATTCAATGAACTGGTACGACTTTGATACTTGATGGCATTTACTTTTACTAGCAAATTGAACCAACATGATCTTCAACCTTGACCTATGCCTATTCTGTTCTTAAAACATTAGTAATTGACCAGCTTGAAATATCTAAATAATTAGTTTTCAAACCATCTTTATTATGATTTTTAGTCTGCAAAATGTTTTCCATTTGGGATATTTGTCTCTATATATTTCTTTCATAAATATAGGTTTGCAAGTCCATACCTAGCATTTGGGATCTTTGTACCCTTCTCACTTATTGGATTGTTGACCCCCCGGTTTGTTTGTAGAGATTTTCCTCTCAGTCAGAATCTCTCTCATGGAATATCATATCAGGTATGGTTTTACTTTTCAGGTGTAAGCAGTTATCATTCTTTATGAACCTGGCTTATCAATTATTGCAGCAATTTTACTTGCTTATCATCTTGCAAGTTTTTGTGCAGGAATTGGTTACCGAAGCTAGATTTTGGGGAGCTTTTGGATTTTACTCCATAGTGACATTGGTGTGTGTTATTAGTCTTTAAAGCTAATTAAAGAGAGATATTATTTGTGTAGCCAGTCTTTGGCGTTCTTTTGTTTTGCCACCTCTGAACTAGGAAGTACATGCTTTCTTACACATCCACAAAATATGGCTAATTGAGTTTCTCTAAACAGGCATACATTGTAGCTGGGCTTAATGGAGGCTTCATGACTTTTCTAATCCTAGTTTTCATGATTCCAGCTTGGATTTCCTTCTTCCTATGCAGCAAGGCTTTTGGCCATGAATCACTCAGGTTGAAACATGAAAGTGAATCTCCTTCTATTAACAGACCATTCATGATGTGGCTATATTTTTCCTCTTTCTGTCCCATTTTGTGTCATTAACCTGCTAGGCCATCTTATTGTGGATGAAATTAAATGTATTCTTCATTTGACATAAGTTGCGTTATTTATCCATACTTCAGTACTTAATAGATGGGCTTCATATTCTATTACTGGCTCATAAAGAGTGAGCAAACCCGTTATGGGTTTTGATATCTCTGATATATTGTTTCTGAAATTATTGTTTGGTGAACCAAAACGAGGATTCAGTTTTCACATCGGGGATATGGAAACTCCCCATTTACGGAGCTTTTTGATATCTCCATTCATCCACGGGTTTCAATTTTGATAGCAGATTTCAGGTTCTGTTCATATTTCCATCTCCACTTATCAGACTTTTATCGATGAGAAAGGCAGCTCTGTCTCCACTAGCAGTGTCGGCGGCCCTCTCCGAAGCAGCGGCAGCAACATCGACTCTGCCACCAGAGTGCCAGCGACGATGCCGACTTAGCCTCCAAGAAGGGCGGCGACAACTACGACTCAGCCTCTATGAGCGGCAGTGGTGATGGCCAAGTCTCCTGCGACCAGCGGCGGATCTGGTCTCTGTCTTGTTCATATTCATAACCAGTGCTTAGTTTCCTTTATATTCATCCGCTAGGAAATCCGACGAATGCATGCCGCTCACTAATTTCCTACAGATTCTAGCAATTAGGGAACTTGTTTAGAGTTGTGTGAACCTCAACGCCCTAATTGTGGAATTTTTGTGTTTCTTATGGTTTCAGTTGATCAAGCTTTGGGAGATGAAAAAGTATTATTAAAATTGAAACAGAAATTAATAAAAATTGGAAAGCCTCGTTTCTCATTTGCTCACCAAACATTTATGTGTATGATTTGATTTCATTTATATTTTCTCTAATCACTTTTGACTCAGATTTCAAAACCCATATCCTTTCTTCCAGTTATCAAAACCCATATCTTATCATATCTCCAAAACTCACCAAACATGCATCGTGGGTGTTAAAGTTGTTCTCCATTAGACATTTATTTGCTCCCCTGATGAACTATACATTCTATTTCTGGCTTTATCTACCAAACTGCTGTACCTTATTCTTCCAAAGAGTGAACAATGCCTTTTAGCTTGTTTCTTGAATATACTTTATATTTTGGCTTTTTATCGAAGTTGTTTTTGCCAGATCAACTGCATCTTATGTAATCTCTTTGATTCCCTGTCTGATGTATGCGGTTTACTTCGGCGGGTTTCTCATAATTTTTGTGCTTGAGAAAATGGGCATGTCGGGCTCTCATCCTTCTCCATATGGTTAGTCTAACCTACCAGTTCACATTGAGTTAGTCATGATAATTATGTTTAAAGGTCAGCTTTTATGATTTCATTGTCTAATGTGAGAATGGCAAATGCTTGCAGGCAATTTTATTCCTGATGTTCTAGTAGCTGCTGTGATTGGAGTTGTAAGTGGTTGGTGTATTGGGCCTCTTATACCTATTGTTGGCCAACATTTAGCTAGACAATCCATAATGCAATTATTGTTGCACGTTGGTATCCTTTCCTTGGCTGTGTCATCACAATTCTTTCCATACAGCACTGAGGCGCCTAAAAGAGTTGTTTTTCAACATACAATTTGGAATGCAGGTTTTTGAACTATAGCCTGCATTTTTGTAGTATTGTCTCTCTGTAGCTCATGCCTTAATGCCTTAGTTTGTTGCAGCGACATGTTTGCTTGTGTCTTTCATGCTTCTTGCCTTCCATTTTTTTCTTATACCTGTTTTGTTGTATTCCTTTTGTTTTGAGCCTGAGGTCTCTTGGAAACCTCTCTGCTTCCAGTTCCACGGGGTAAGGTCTACGTACACTCGCCCTCCTTGAGTCCCCAGTCCCCACCTTGTGATATTTTACTGGGTTTTTTTTATTTCCTCGTAGCTCTAAAATTCCCTCACAACATAAACAATAATGAAAAGCAAGTTCTACATCTTTGCAGATAAACCATGGTCAGCATGTTGAAAATCTTGAAAATGGATCATTGTTGTGAATATCTTCATCATGGATGAGTGGTGCAGATATTTAACCAAAGTTTCCATTAGAACTCCATGCCTTAGTATTTTATTACAAATTGTACCATGTGTTTGTTTGTATAAGAAGCTTCAATCAGTATTTCCTAATGTCATGATCTCTTATGCATGTTTAAATGTGCTGTAGCTTGTAATCTGGGACTATTTTGTACTTTAATGATCTGTTTTGTTATACTGCTAGATTCCAGTCAAATTCTGAGCTCTAGTTATGACTTTGCCACAACCGATTCCAACTCTATGCTTTTTGTATTCAAACATGCACCTGAATTGACAAGGGAACTGCATACCGATACAAATTTTTCTTTTCACAGTGTTGATAAGGCTCACCCCGATGATTGGATGGTAATTAATTTTGACATTTTTTAGCCGATGCATAAACTTGTTTCAAGAAACTACAATAATTACTTGCCTGATTTTTAATTTCCGTATTATGTCTTTACTCTAGTTTAGCTTGAAACTGGGGCAGTACAAGCATGATTCACTAGTTGTACAATCTACATTTCATTTTCCTTTGCAATGAATTCAAGAATGGAAAATTACATTTTTGCCATTGAGCTGTGTACAACTTGTTTTGCCCTTGGTTGTCTACTTCTACTAATCGATCCAGATATGCAACACTGTTGGCACTCCAAGTCCCTGATATCATGTTTTAGCCTCAAGCCCAGTCTACCAGTTCTTAATTCCTCAAGTCTGCAAAAAAAAAGATTTTCAACTCAGACCCCTGTTTGAAGAATGACTCATACATTTCACAGAAGACATTAGAGATTTAGAGTATAAGGCTATAAATTCAATAATGTGACATATCTTATGACCTATTTGGTGAGTGAAACAGTGTTGGAAAGGAATGAGTTTTAAAACCATGAAGGAATCGATTGGGTTTTGAAATGTGGAACAAAAGTGTTTGGCGAACAGTTGGAATAGAATCAAATGAAACCATTTTTTTAAGTTAATGACGACGATGGTGGTTGGGGCGACACTGGTGGTGGTGGAGGAAATCATTTCCATTGGTTGATATCACTTGATTTCAGGAGATATCCAGACACCCTTTATAGGCGGGGGTTCACATATCGGGGATATAAAACTCAACATCTAAAATGCTTCACCAAACACTCGAGAAAGGACCTTGATTCCTTGGGTATCAGAACTCGTATATGTTTCGCTCACCATACAAGCCCTTAGAGCATGAACAATGGTGAGGCAAAAATGGAATGTCACACGCTGACGTGGAGCATTTCAACCAATAAAAAATAGTCTAGTCAACGAGCAGCACACGAGTGGAGTGGCATGGCTTGCAATGGCAAGTCATTGTTTTCATCCCTTTTTTTCATATTTTTGTCATATTTGAATTATTAAAAATTATTTTACTTATATATTTTTATCATGAAAATATTTCTATTTACTCAAATAAATAATTTTTTTATATATTTTTAAAATTTTTTTTGTTATCTACTCCATATTTTTATTTATTCCTTCATCTCAATTTAGATTATTATTTTAGAATTACGATGCAAATTAATTATCATTTTATTTAAAAATCATTTTTTTGTCAGTTTTTAAACTTTTTAAACGTTTTTAATTATTAAAAATTATTTTACTTATCCTATTTTCATAAAAAAGATGTATTCCTTTAAAAAATCTTTTTTTTTACAAAAAAATTAAAAAAATAAATGGGAACACATTGACACGGTCATGACTTGCAAATAGAGGAGGAATGCTCTATCCTCGCATGGCAACGTCCTTCTCCGTGCTGATCTGGCAGCGTGGTATCTCTCCAAACACGCCAGTGTTGATGCTCTTAGGTTACCTATAAAAGTTGACAACCAAGGTCCAAAATGTTTAATCATGCACAAAGGACCAAACTTGGTATTTTCCATCAAAGAGTTTAACTTTACTTGCATGTAACTGGAATTCCTTTCACATATTGTAGCAGTATATTACATTGTTTCTTCATCTAGTTTTTCAGTGAAATCAATATATGTGGCTCTAATGTTGTTTCTTTGCAGGGAATTTTCCCAGTATCTTTCCTCTTTTCAACAAGTTTTAAGTTTCCTGCAAAGCCTGAGTTTATCATGGATCAGTACAAAAGCTTCCCAGTTTTATTCAATCACAAGCCGCAGGAGCTTCTCAGTGGGGGCTATCGTAGAATATACTTGGAGTTTTCTTTGGGGTAAACTATAAATGACCATTGAATCTCATGTGGCCTTCAGCCTTAAGATTGATTTTAATGCTTGGAACATATTTTAGTTCACATCTTTCTTTCTGATTGGGAATTTCTTATTGATAAATTAGTCTCTTAACTTGCAATATTAATTACCTTACATGCTAACTTACATGGTTAAAGTATTTAGTTCATGAACTTATGTTTTGCGAGATTGGTTCTATGCAATTGATTTGTGACAATTTAACAGCTTTGTGCATTGCTTTACATTGTGTCTTTAATGAGGGACTGAACATATTATGATTGATATTCACCAAGATATTGATGATGCTAGTTGCAAGATATCAGTGTTATATTATAATTCCACTTTCTTCGTTTCTCTTCTATTTAATATTCTTACATCTTATATTTTTGTCTGCATATAGTTCCACGAAGGAGGTGTGGGTTTCAGTTCTTAATATTACAGGCCCATTATTCAGATGGTCTTTTGCAAACAACAAACTTCCAGGTAACATACACATATGAATGAAGTTCTTTGTTTTTCTTGTTGTTTCCTAATCATTATGGCTTTTTTTTCAGCTCCAGAAAAAGATGGTGATGGCCCTCCTTCTTATATTTGTAGATTAAGTGGTGCAAGTAGTGAGAACTGGACATTCTGGTTAGAGGTAATTAAACCTTTATGGATGTGTTGAGTTTTCACTTTTGGAGGGTTGATGATTCAATTGTGATGTGATGAGTATTTTACTCCTTATTTTTTTATTATGACCAAATTGAACTCCCTTCGACCCCTTTTTATTTTGACATTTTCCTTTTTAGACTGTCCCTATTAATCTTCCTCTTTCAAAAAAAGAATTGTGTGGTTCATATCGATCATTTTCTTTTCTATATAAATCTCTACCACAATTTCATATTCTGAAACCCTGTATAAAAGCATGTTGGAACTTTACATAGGGATGAAGGAAGTATTCAACTCACTACATACTCTGTATTATCTCTGTTGAGTTACTCGTATCTGCATCTTTATGAGATAGAAGTTGAAAGAATTGATCATATTCCAAGATTTGCAACTTGATTTTTTAATATCAATCTTGTAATGAAACATGGCATGATGGCAATGACAAATCTCATTGCATTGTTGTCTCATTTTGTTTTCCATTCATGTGAAGATAACTTGTGTTAGATCATATATGACTATTTTAGGTATTCCTTATGAAGGTTCGAGACATTCGCCCAAAAACATTGCCACTTTTGCATGAATTTAAAGTGCTAAAGAATTTATACAATTAATTAGCACTGCAAATGAATACCACCAACCCGACTTGTAGGGACTAGGGATTAAGATGTTGATAATGATGCTGCCCATAGAAGCTGATAATTGACTCATTATAGAACAGAGAAAAACACTAAAGTGAGATCAATAAAGCAAGATGGATGGGGTAATAATTAGACAAGTTTATCCTTATCATAATTATTGGATGAGGTACATTCCCTTCTTTATCTTTCTCCAATGGAGGCTATTTATCCTTATCATAATTATTGGATGAGGTACGCAGACCTTGCCCCCTACTCAAAAGTAGGGAGGCTGTTTCCAAGAGACCCCCGGCTCAAGCAACAAAAGTAATAAAAGATAATAAATTAATAATATTAGTAATAGATCTCATGAGATACATAATAAAGAAGAAAAAGCACAGATAAAGTTCAAAGCACACAAAGGCAAAGAGCAAAGGCTATTCTTCCTGAGTCTTGTTCCCCTACTCTCACCCACCAACGTGAGCCTCTTGCCTCTCCGCACTAGGGAATCGGCATCCCGCTGCCTCATATGCCCAAACCACCTCTATCTAGCTTTTCGTAGCTTATCTTGCACATGCCCAATGCTAACCCATCCTCAGATAACCTCATTTGGAACCATGTTCAACCTCGTTTGCCCACACATCCATTGTAACATCCATAGTTGGTCTGACTACACACCGGTAGCACTTACCTTCCATCCTAGCCAAAAACTTCTTATCGCACCGAACCTCTAAAACCAACCTTCACTTATCCCAAGCCGCTCTAACACAATGCGTAACATACTCGTCCAACTTCCCATCCACCTGAATGGCCGAGCCAAGATACTTGTCTAACTTAGGCACTGAATGAGAATCATTCCTAACTTTTACACCTAATTCTGTTTCCCGACCACTAAAACAACATTCCATGTATTCTGTCTTGGTCATATTAATCCTTTGAATTCCAGAGATAGTCGCAAAAGTTCCAACTTGTTGTTTAGTCTCTCGCGGGTGTCGTTGATTAGCACAATATCGTCAACAAAAAGCATGCACCATGGGACCTCTCCTTGAATTCCAAGTGTCAGGACATCCATCACCAAATCGAACAAGAAAGGGCTAAGGGTAGGCCCTTGGTGTAGCACCACCTCTACGGGGAAAGGCTCAGAGTCACTTTGATAGTCTTTTTCCTAGTCCTTGCTCCTTCGTGCATTCTGGTCTTTAAAACACTCCATAATTTTTTTTCCTATTTCCAATTTATCTTTTTTATGATCGGCATGACAAACTATTTCCACATTTGTTAGGAAGATTGGGAATAAAACACTACAAAGTACGATTGGACAAAAACAGTACGAACTGTGAAATTGGCCAGGGTATAACCGTATAACCAAGCATCACCACTCTTGGCCAAAAAACAATATAAATGTCACCGGAGTACGCCGGAATACGAGAGTCCATATGAATACTCCCTTTTATAAACATGTTATAGTTTTTTTTGTTGAATTTCTCATACTTGGTATTTGTACGTACTGATCTCAGCCCCATAAAAAGTACATCAGGTATGTATTGTGTAGTATGTATGTCACATTAGTATACTTTTTTTCTGTTCATGTTCATCATTGAATTTCACATCATTGGTTCATGAATTTTAATAATCATCAAATCTAGATTAATTATTTAGAATATCTTCATAGATTCGTTATATATTATTTTTGATAAAATATTATTTTATCACGGATACATGAAAATATTTTAAATTCTGAACCAAGATTCCACATATTTTAGAACTTAACCAATTATAAATCCGCGGTGAAAAAACACATAAAACAAATATTAACAATTTTTTTATCATTGGTGAAATTTTGTTGTCATAAAAATGATTACAAATCAAGTTGTTAACGGATGGGGTATACATATCTTTTGTGGGAGTGAGATCGGATAAAACACTATCAACTATGATGGTTTGGACCAAAAAGATTGTAGTATGTTTATATGAGGGAGTATGTATCTGAATTCTTGAATTCTAGTATACTCCAAGCGACATGCATACTGTTTTTTGCTAAAGAAGGTGATAGTTTGTTATATAAATATTGATCACATAGGGAGTTTTGGATTACAATGGTTACCCACCGAATATAATGGGAATCATACATTGTTGTCTTCATTGGTTGGCATGCCAATGTAATGGGAACCCATACATTGATGTGTTCTTTGGTTGGCATGCCGATTGTCTCAAATAGAATGAGACCGAGGGAGTGGTAAAAAGTGTTGCAAAAGACACTGGATATATGTGTGGGTGGTTGATAAACGACCGTTCATAAAATATTATTGCTTTGGGAAAATAGAAATTCCATATAACTTTTTTAGATTTGTAGGAAATTTACAATAAAGTACCATGTGGATTACAACTAACATACATAAGTGTATCAAAAAAACATATTTATATACTTGAAGATATGCATTGAGAGGCTAAGGCAAATGTTAGAATTCGTGGAGAGGTTATGTTAAGGATCACGCTAAGCCAATTCATTTTTTCCATGGTTATGAATGAAGTAAGCATGAGTATTCAATATTGTGGTGCATGTTGTTTGCAGATGATGTCTTGCTAGTTTATGAATGTAAAGATGTTGAGACGATTTGAAAGTTCAATTTTGTTGATGAAAAAAGAAAAGTAAAAGAATTCATTAGAGGCTTATAGAATTTAGGATGAGGTAAGGGTCACTAAACTGGGCATAGGACATGAATCAAATCAAAAGATTGAATTCGATTGATTACTTAGTTCAACTCAAGAGCTTATATCCCGATTACTTTTCTCTTCAACTTTTGGTGTCGAATATTTTAACACTCCTCAAGTAGACAACCAGGTCATTTTGAATGGAACCGGAGGACCTCTTCCAAATGGACTTTCTTCCCCTTGAAACCAATATTTAAGAATGCAGTGGCAACACCTATATAACCACGAGTGGTTGAGTATGAACTTCCTGGCAAACAATTGGGTTAAATCGGTCACAAGCCATTTTTCATACGGGCCCCTAGGAGGGAACGTCTAGACGGATACTTGACAAATGAGGTGGGCCAAAACTAGCTCTGATACCATGATAGAATTTAGGGTAAGGGTCATTAGATATGGCTAAAAGACATTTGGGTTAAACCACATCAAGAGATTTAATCTAATTGATTACTTTGTTCAACTAAAGAGCTTATATACCGAATACTTTGCTTTTCAACTTCTGATGAGATTCTTTAATAGAGGCCATACCCACTTCACAAGACCAAAAGAAGTTGATTAGAAGATTCCATAAAGACTAATTTAATGATGTTCCCCACGAATTTATATCTCTCTTCATAAACGGTTCTTCTCACTAGTGAGATTCCCTCTGACATGTGATGAGGGAGGATGCTCATAAGGGTTCTCTCTCTCTCTTTCTCTCTCTAGCCTCACAAAGAGAGAAAAGTGTCAATGTTGCAGCTGTCCTAATTTTGTCTACAAGGAGTGTTTAAGATCTTTTAGAATATTGAATAAGTTAATTCATTTAGTTCTAGAGCATCTCAGTTTATTTTACTCCCCTTGCTATACAAATCACAAAAATTGTTTATGCCTTTTTTATCTCCTTGTGAGGAAAGGAATGTGTAGTACAATAAATGCATCTCTTCTCAACAAATTTCATCACACTTTCCACTTTTCAACTATTCTTTGATTCTGTAAGAGACATTGATGTTTTTATGGGACGGAGGGAGTATTTTATTATAGGGTAGTTTCGGAACAAGCTTGGATCATAGAGTTTGCTTATATGCATGCATACACACACACACACACACACACATATAGGTTTATTCAGAAAAGAGTATCCTTATTGTGAAAATATAGGAATGGTGCATTTCAGACTGTCGTGATGCATGCATATTACAGTTGTAGTAGTGCATTTTTGAAAAGTTCAATTTATTTTACCAAATTGCCACTGTGTTTTCAAAATCTTCAGAATTTTTTATTTAAGTAAATTCCATAAAAGGTCCCCAGTTATAGGTTGTTTTACATATTTAGTCCCTACATATCAAATATTACTAATTTAGTCCCCAATTATTATATTATTTTTTACAAATGGTCCTTTGTTAACGTTTTTGTTAAGAACATGGATAAAATTGTATATTCATACTTCTCTCTCCTCAATTAAGCTTCCTCCATCCTCTCGTACTCTTTCCCAAACTCGTCACTCACTGCTACTTTTTTGTATTAGCTTTTTGCATTGTTTTATTTTGCCTTATGCATTTTCTTGCTCACTATTAATTACTTCCTTTTTTAAAAATTTGTGAGGTTTAAAAATAGTGAGAAAAATAATAGTATGTTGTAGGAATATTCTTTTGAGTTTGAGTTTGGTGTAATGGGTTGGAGATGAATTACTATTTGATTTGGTATTTACTGCATTTTGGGTTTGAGTTTGTTGCATATGACTGGAGATGGTTAAGAGAGAAATGTGGTGAGGCACTTATTGGAAAGTAAGAGTCAACTTTATTTTTTAACACCAAAAAAAAGTGTGAAATTTATTTAGGAGCGGAAGGACTTTAATTTTTTAATGCACCATTCCAATTATACTTCATCTCATTTTACAATTTCAGTCCTATTTTCAGCAATTCCAACCAAATCTCTGCTCTTCTTTAGTTAAAAGATTCAGAGGATGTCTTCTGTTGTATCCCTTGAAATGATGAACCAAACACAGTAATATCATGATCTACTTGCTACCACAATTCACTGCCAATGACCTGCCTTTTAGAGAACTGAAAACTTGTCATCATGTGTTTTGTGTATCCTTTTTTCGTTCCTAGTTATGTTTCGTAGAAAGTTACCACACAGTTTAAATGACCTATAATATTTTGGAGAATAAGTGGAAACTCCAAAAGCTTATCCATGTTGTTAGAATTAGATTGGAGATTTTTATTGTATACAATGAAAACATCGCACTCAGTATAATTCCACCAACCTCTTTGGCGTATGGCGGGTCAAGATTTACACAACTATACCCCATTAAAAATTAGAGAGGTTGTTTCTTTTAGACCCTTATTTCTATCATCTCCAATGGAGCCAAATTCACCTTTTTTTGCTATGGGGTATGATGGAATAACGCAAAATGACTCTCTAAACTGTGCGCTTCTTTCAATAGTGAAGTAGCAGTTAGTCAATGCAACTCTTGACGCTCATCATGGGTCATTTAGAAACAACCACTTTTAATATTAAACATAGCGGTCTCACTGCATACATCTAACCCCCATACCCCATAATAGGTGAGAGCCTTTGAGGCATTGGGGAGATGTTGTTTCATTGGGGAGACCTTGATGCATTGCTGCATTTACTCCCCAAAATTTCATTAAAGGTAAGTAACAAGGGAGGTTTAATGTCATTTAGAGTTAGTTCATTATTTACTTGAAACATTGTGAAGAAGTGATTCATTTAGCTCCCTTCATTAGCAATGGACATGTGGGAATTTCATAGTATGATATACTACGTATGCAATTTCAATTTACAAATTACTCTTCATGCGCGGTCTGGTAGCCTTATCAGCTTACTCTCTAGAATAAGTAGCTTTTGATTTACTTATCTGGCTGAACAAGATTTTCTATTAAAATACTTCTACTTTCAGCCATTTCAGTAGAATAACCCCTACCAAACGAGCTCTAAAAATTGTATTCAAACATTTGTTTACTGTATGCATTTGCATAAACGAAATACCACCAAATGCGGGTTCCATTCATTCCAAATGATTCTTACATGATTTGCAGGCGAGTAGCTCTGAAAAGATTAGGATTGAACTTGGTGTAATTGACCAGCATCTAACAGAACCGCAGCTGAAGTTGAAAGGGCTCTTTCCTGAATGGGTAGATGTCACAGCCTACTCGAGTTTCAGGTCCACTTATTTGTTCTAGCCTCTGATACTCACCTCACGCCTACTAATCACTCTGTTTTGTCATGTCAAGAGTTTGCCTCGATGGTTATTATATCGAGCTATAATTTATTACATTGTACCATCGTTGCTACATATGAATTGAACTGTAGTTTTGCTTCTTGACCCCCACACCCCAATGGAGTTGGGATTACACTGGTTTTGTAGTTGCATTGACTTCAGTTTCTCTTCAAAACCAGTTATGAAATGCTTTGGTCATGTGGATTTGTGATTTTGATTTGAAGAAAATGAGACGTTTCTCGGTTCTTCACTTTTTTTCTGCTTGTTTTACTGCTTTTTTGGTTTGTGTGCTTCTTGTGTTTGTGCTATTAACACCATGTTTACTTTGTCTTTGCTTCTTTGTTTGAGCTGGGTGTCACTTGGAAACAATCTTTCTATTCCGAGTTGAGTAAAGTCTGCGTACGTACACCCTCATCAAGCCCTATTTTTGTGGAATTTTACTAGGTTTGTTCGTCTCGATAATGTAAAAACCATGAAGTTTGAGGGAGACATGAAAATGAGAGTGCATCATTTTCTTCATCATTACTTGCCACAATTGGTGAAATTCCTGTTATTCTCAAAACTTCTCAATCCAAACACCCCACTACCATAGGCAAAATTTGCTTCTCAAGGCGGTGAGTAGGACTTTGAGGGTATTTGTGTTGTGTTTAAACATTTCGTAATACTCCGTATCTTTTTTTAAAAAAGCAGATTCATGTAGTTGATAGAAAAAAAATCAAAAGATCAAACTAATTTTGAGTCACATAAATGCTACCAAAATGATACTACCTCTGTCCCATTTTAAATAGCATGTTTGCCTTTTTTTTCGTCCCAAAATAAATTGCCTGTAAGTTGTTTTCGTAAACGTTTAAAAATAAAAAACTAAACTACCCCTAAAATAAGTTAATCTTTTTCACTTTATCTTCTCATTCATCATCACCCCTCCTAAAAAGTAATGTCAATTTTGAAAAATTAACTCTATTTTTTATTTTCCTTAAATATGCCCAAAAATCAAAATAGGCGATTTAAATTGGGATGGAGGGAGTACATGGTACGTGGTAAGAAATACTCTGTAGTTGGTAAAAGAAAAAATGTGAGTTGCATAGATGTCTGACTACAAAAGATTAAACTGGATACTAGGATGGAAGTATTGGTATATAAATTAAGTATATTACTATTGTTTATTCTCATTCGGGTAAAAAAAGAAGGGATATGCTAGGGGTACACCAAAGGTACACCATTTGCCTCTACACTATTCATTTTATTTTCTTTTTATTTTTTACTTATTTTTGAAATTTTCTTGCCTTTTTGTGTGGTGATGGAGGGGGTGGGGGATGTTTGGGGTACACTTTTGGTGTACCCCTAGCATTTTCCAAAAAAGAATCACATTTCTTTGTTGAAGAAGATAAACCACTACATCAGCGGGAGTTCAATCTGAATGAACATGTGAATAGTAACTAAGGCAAACTAGTAATAAAATATTTCTTTTTTATAAGATATTATTATAGAGTTAAATATACGTTTGGTCTCTGTAAAATAAATAATTTTTTCTTTTATTCCTTCTAAAATATATTTTTATTAAGGCATCACTGTAAAATACTCGGTAACTTATTTCGCAAATAGTCATTCACTAATTATTTTAGTCTTTCACTAATTATTTCGCAAATAGTCTTTCACTAATTATTTCGCAAATAGTCTTTCATCGCTTTTGTTTTTTGTCCTTCTAAAGTATTTTAAATTCAATGCAATTTTAATTTTGGTTCTTTTAAACCATAACAAATTAACTCTAAGTTAGTGTCTTTTACTTTTAGTCCATTTAAAATACTTGTATATTTTATCGAATCATCTTTGTAAAATATATGTTTTTGAAAATAAATTTATCACATGGATTAAAAGCATATTTAACCCTAAAATTATATTCTAAGCCAAAATAAAGAACATCAATGAAATCTAGTGTAGTACTGCTTTATTCCATATGTAGAACTAACACCTTAACAACTTAATTTACTAATTGTCACACCTTTGTAGTAACCCTTTTTTGTTTTGCATCAAAACACATTGTGGCCGGCTACTTATATGAAAGATAAAGCTACTACATTTTTTGAAATGAAGAAAAATGCATTAATTAATCAAGAGATGTTCTACAAAATTAAGCAGACTATAGTCCCAAGACCTACAAAGAGGCTGTCTTTCAAGCCAAAATATAGGCGATCTCATTACATTACAAGAGCGACGAACATGACTAAATGAAATATCTTGAAATTCGAAGTACAAAAATTGTGCTTCCCTGGGCCCAAATGCACTGGGATTCTAGGCATGAGGTGGGCCTACTTATTCTATTATGAGGCCCGATTGTTATGGGCCTACTTATTCTATGATGAGAGAGTCAAAGACTCGCATCATCATCCCACCCTCCCATTGCAAGCCAAAGCCCATCAACAATTCATCAATTCCCTTAACGGGCCACCTTAGAGGCCCAGATTAACACACTGGGGTGGAGAGCTAGGGCTAGGGTTTTATTCGCGTTCCCAGTCTCATCCCTTCCAAGGCGGCGACCCGGCTGTTCTCCTTCTTCTCCAAGCTCGCAAATCGAACCGCAAGCTGAAGCAGCTGAGCTAGGGCACAATGGTATGCCATCTTCCTTTCCTCTCGTATCACGCTTCTTCGTGTTCGTCATTCGATCAGTTTCTTAACTTCTCGTTCGTGTTCGTCGTCCACATTTCAGGTGAAGTACTCCAGAGAGCCCGACAATCAAACCAAGTGTAAGTTCTTCCAGTATGCGAAATGGCTTTTTCTGTTCTCTTCCTTTGAATTTTCCGCTTTGTGCTTGTTGAATTGATTTGATGAAGTCCAGTATGTTCTAGGCCTCCTTTACCCCTATGATTTAGAACACAGTTTCTCAGTGTTTAATTCTGCTCCTTTGTGCATTTTCAATGTTTTCGCGTGTGTGTATGGGGAAACATAAGAGGGGAGATTTTGTCCAAAAGGAACCAGAGGAACTTTTACTTCGATTCATATAAAAGTTATTGAAAGGAGTTGGATGTAAAGTTCTATCGGTACCTGTTTCCGTTGACCCATGCCGCCACTCGAAAACGTCTTAAATGTCGAACTCAAGATGAGTTTGAAGGCCCACCGCCTGGCCCGGGAGAGGAAGTGCTTGCGACTATCATCGGGCGTGATCAGTCATGAGTCTCTTGACAGTGCCCAAAGAAAAAAAAAGTAGAAAGAATTTCCCTTAGGCACAGACGGAAGTAATAAAGTAAATGTTTACAAAGGATTTGCAAAAAGCAGGGAAAAAGTCCCACAAAATGTATATGTTTATAAGTTTCAATAGATAGTGGTACTTTTGATTAACTTTACACACATTAATTTGTTTGTTTGTCCATATTTATTACAGCATGCAAAGCAAGAGGCTCTGATCTAAGGGTTCATTTCAAGGTACTAATTTGGTTTCTAAAGCTTCAATTCGACGTGCTTATTTGATTCTTTGTTTGAGTGGTTCCCGGTGAAAAGAAGATTTGTTTGTTTTTGCAAACTCTTCCTTTGTCCGGAAGGTTGGGACATGAATTTGCATTTAAGTGGGCAAATGTCTTGACTAATTTATGGATTGTCACATGGGTGATTGAATGGGGTTACAATTATATGAAACACAATCATTTTGATTACTTTATTCTTATTATAAGCTTATAGTTACTTACCAACGGCCTTGTACAACTGTTATTTATACACAAAAAAATCAAATCATGTTGCTATTTGCAATGGCTTCATATTTTCTCTCTTCCCCATTTGGCATGTAATTATTGCAAGGCTTTCTTTCAATCCGCTGGCCTGTCTATTGGTTGGCATGGAAATTTTAATCTCAAGTATGCACATTGCATCATCAATTCAAGACTAATTCTTTCGTGTCTTATTGTCCCCAAATTCAAAGCAATTAATATTTGTCTTATTTTAATGTTTTATGTTATTGTGTTTATTATTCTAAATGCCGTGCTGCCATCCACTGCTAAATGACCTTTGTTTCGAATCTTCCGTGCCTTTTCAGAACACTAGGGAAACCGCTCATGCTCTCAGGAAGATGCCTTTAGACAAGGCTAAAAGGTATTTAAAAGACGTTCTGGCCCACAAGCAAGCCATTCCATTCACTCGTTTCTGCCGCGGAGTCGGACGAACAGCACAGGCAAAGAACCGGCACCCTAATGGACAAGGGCGGTGGCCTGTGAAATCTGCCAAGATAATTCTTGATTTACTCAAGAATGCTGAAAGTAATGCTGAGGTATGTGCATATGCCTCGAGCTGAAACTAAATTTGCCAGTACATTTTTCTCTGGTGGAGTCTATTTAGCTCACAATGGCTGATTGTATTTTTGTAATAACTAAAAGGTGAAAGGATTAGATGTGGATTCCCTCTTCATTTCCCATATCCAAGTAAACCAAGCCCAGAAGCAAAGGCGCCGCACATACCGTGCTCATGGGAGAATTAACCGTATGCTCTCCATATTCCCTTATTCTTTGTATCTGTTATGTGTTGTTGTATAGGCATCTTAGAAAGTTAATGTGTTTTTTTACATTGCAGCTTACATGTCATCTCCTTGCCATATTGAACTGATTTTGTCTGAAAAGGAAGAGCCTGTCAAGAAAGAGGTTGGTTATCAAAGATTGGATGACACTTCTATTTTAATTATGATTTTTTTGTAACAAAATGATAGAAATTTCGCCCTATTAACATGTGCCTTCTCTCTCTCTATCAGCCGGAATCTCAGCTGGCAGCAAAGAAAGCTTAAGGGGCTTAGGAATGCAAACATTCAAAAGAGGAGTTCCAGAGTATTTTTTTACTCCATTTTGCGCACGCCGTTTAAACTAGTTGTTTAGATCTTGTCTTTGAGGATGGATTTTATGTTTTTGAAGAACTTTTGCATTGTTATGACTGCTGTTTTCCAACATTCTAGTTGCCCGGCAACACTTTTGTCTTTGCATTTCAATTCCCTAAAAGCCTTAAAGAGCATTTCATGTGTTTCTTATCACTATACTATTGAGACACCATTCTTCTGCCCCATATGGACTACTTTTTTCACATGGGTGAAAGTTTAAGTTTTAGTATGGTCCAACTTATTGAATTAATCAAACAAATGGAACACAAATCGTTTTATTCGGGACTTTTTTACTATACTCAGTTCATCTTTTCCTTTGGTCATTTTTTTTAATTTTAACTTTTTTCTCTTTGGGGTTGAGTTGTGTGCTACTTCGTACTTGTTATATAATCCTC